GTTTGAAAGAGGCTCGAGAGGCAAGCAGGCACAGTATACAGAGCACACTCATGGCAACCACTCTTGGCGCGGACAACGAGGCACGCGCACAGTCAGACTCGCACGCACACACTCACACAGACACACACACACACACACACACACACACACACACACACACACACACACACACACACACACACACACACACACACACACATACACACACCCGAACACACGCCCTCGCCCGCAAGGCCTCTTATTCGCTGGCCCTCGTCGCCTGCAACACTCGCCCGACACGAACTTTAGCCCGCTCCCTCGTGACGCCGCCCTCCGCAGGCTCAACGTCCGAGCTTTGTCCCCCGTCACTCTCCTCTCATTTCAGACCCCACACATGCGCATGCTGTTCGCACTTCCGACCAATGCAGGCGCCTTGCCTCACCCCTCTCACGGGCGGCCCCCATTCTCTCTGCTCTGCAGGACGCGCGCCGAGAGGCGCTACATGGTCGACTTCAATGAGAGCGAGGGCGAGTCGGCTTTCATGGTTGTGAGATCAACAAAGGGCGTCTGGTTCGACAACCCCCACGTGTTCCATCGGAGCCTCGCAAAGGTGCCAATCAGCTTTTGTTTCGCGCCTGAGGAGGGGGCCCAGGTTCAGACCGAGCTCGGGCCAACGGCTTCCGTCAAGGTCGGTGGCTACTTCGCTTCCAGTGCGGATTATGAGGAGTGGTATCAGCGCCGCCGCGCGAGCCTGACGCTGCCGCCTTCGCTCCTCGGAGCTGAGGTGCGCACGCGCACGCCAGGATCGGCATTGTCCCTGCGGCGTCCCCGTCTCCAAACATTTACGTTGCTCGCAGGCGTGCGGCGTCAACAACGACGTCGTTGTGAAGGAGGAGGCCGCCACCGACGAGGCCGCCTCCGAGGAGGCCGTCGTCGCCGAGGAGTCCGCCACCGAGGAGGCGACCATCAAGTCCGCCGCCGCCGAGGTGTCCGCCGCCGCGGAGGCAGTCGCCGAGGAGGCGCCCGTCGCCGAAGTGGAGGTCGCCGAGGAGGCTGCCAAGGAGGTCGAGAAGCCGGCCAAGACCGTTTTCAACACGCCCGACCCAGCGGTGAGCGCGCCGCAGCGTTCTCTCCTGGCACTCCTAGCTTTCCACCCACCCGTATTACTCTCTCTCCCGTGTACCCCTACCATGCAGGAGTTGGCCAACCTGTCAATGGTCGTGGAGGACAGCTTTTACGTCTCCAAGCCGATGTTTCTGACCAGCGTCGAGATCGCGTTGGCGGAGCCGCGCGCTGCGAAGATCATGCAGCGCGTCTCGCGCGGGCTGCTGGCGCGCAAGAAGGTCGTGGCCGTGAAGGAGGAGGCTGCCACCGAGCAGGCCGCCACCGAGGAGGCCGCCGCCAAGTCCGCCGCCGCCAAGTCCGCCGCCGCCGAGGAGATCGCCGCCGAGGAGGCCCCCGTCGCCGAGGAGGCCGCCTCCGAGGAGCGGAGTTTGCGTCTGACACCCACACTGAGCTGACCCGGTCTCGCTTTCGATAGGACGAGGCCGGCTGGATCGCCTCGACCTCACGCAACAACACGGAGTGCAAGGGCGAGGTCGAGCCCACGAAGGTCATCAACAAGTACGACCTGCTCGACGACGTCGAGATCAAGGCGCAGACCGACGACGACAAGGACGAGGACGACGAGAAGGACGACGAGAAGGACGCGGAGGCGGACAAAGCGGGTGAAAAGTCCTCGACGGTTTCGCGCCCACTCGCTCTGCACACACACCCGCCGCACCTTTGCTTGAGACAGCGCGTCTCGCACCGCAGGTGGACAAGCACGACTCGTCTGAGGAGACCAAGCCGACCTCGACGCGCTTCGGCTTCGGCTCCGGCTTCGGCAGCTTCTGCTCGTCAAAGCTGCTGTGCATCTTCTTCACCTTTTTCGTGCTGGGCTGCACTGGCGTTGCTCTCTCTTCGTACGGCTATATGGTTCGACCATGGTCGCTGCTTCGCGCCGCGCCGCTGCTGCTCGTGTCTCAATCCACGGCACACGACCTCAACTGCGGCGCATCTGTTGCCCTCGACCCGAACGCATTGGGCCCACTGGATCCATCATGGCCGGGTGCCAAGTGGCTGCAAATGGTGCATGGCACACCAGACAGGGCATGGAAGAGCTTCTTTGATGCATCAATGCTGCAGCTTGGGTCACTTGATCGCGAAGGCAAGCAGCTTGCCACGATGAGCACTTATGCGTGCTGCTTCAACTACGCGGCCGGCGCGAGCGTGACCGATGGGCTGCTCGTTGAATTTGGGACCTGGGCAGGCGGCTCGATGCGATGCTTCGCAGCTGGGATCCAGCAGACAGGCCACCCGAATCGCGCGATTGGATTCGATGCGTTCAAAGCTGGATTCATCGGGTCCAACGCTGCAAAGCTCCGCGGGACGCGTTGGTGGGATCCGAAGAAAACTGATTATGAGATGAAAGACTTAGACCTGCTGCCCATCTACAACGCGTCAACTTTCGAGAGCATCGGGAGGTGGATAGCAAACTATCTGGGGCGACAGTCGACGTGTTCATCACCGATGCGGCCAAGAGCGCAGCGCCACTTGCGCAGGACATTGGCGCCGTTGCACCCTACTTGCGTCCGGGCTCCATCCTGGTGTTTGCAGACTTCTTTTTCACAAATACGGTGGACAGTCCTCCAGCTGTCAATCAAGTCCTCTTTGTCTTCGGGCAGCTGGTGTCTTCAGGTATGCTGCGGCTCCTCGGGCTGACGGGGTCCTACGGTTACTTCTTACTGA